TCAGAATATTCAGATATTTCCCCAAAACTTAGTAGAAAAATAGACTTATTCTTGTCACTACAAATTGTCACTCAGCATCAAATCTAATGTGCATCTGTGAAGATGTGACCCTCCACCTGACAGTGTGCAGGGTACATTTTCATACAGGCTCCTGGGTGGGTTAGCAACAGTGCTCCTTGAAACTCCCAATTACCTTCACTGGCAGAGTCCCTGGGGATGGAGCATGTGCAGGAGCTTGTTCCGAGTGATCTCTGCCGCAGACAGCGCAACCTCACACTCCCGGCAAGTGGAGGTTCTAATGCAGAGAAGGCTTTATCACATCCAGACTGTGATAAAACTACCGTCAGCAATGCTCCCAGGAACGCATGTGGAAAACCAGGGTTTGGGGAAAGCAGTGCCACAGCTAGCAGTCTGTGGGCAGACTGGGCAGTTAAGTTTGTGGTCTTTAATGTATATTTTTTAAGTTAATTCAAATAATCTGGATGGGTTGGATGGATTTTATTATCATATGCTTGAATTCTAGTAAAAGAGAGAAAGAAATAAGAATGTATTCCTTCCCTTGGTGGCATGCCAGAACCCCCCTTAAAATGTTTTTGTGCCACTAGGTCTCAAAGCAAACACATGAAGCCATACAGCTGCTTTTTTCCATCTATAAAAATCTCCCATTTCCACTAGATAGTTGAGATTGTGAACTACAGATTACTTGCTAAAATCTTTCAAAGGTCTCTTGTTGCCCCATAAAGAGCAGTCATCCAACCACAAAAAAAACTCATTTCCAATGAACAGAGTACAACCACAAACACTGTCTTGTCTCTAATGTTTTCAGACACTACAGTGAAGAGATAAATAAGTTAAATGCACTGAAATATTAAGAAATTCTACCCGTCTGCTTCTATTTGTGTGTAGCTCTGGTATCAGCAAATAAGGTCTTTGAAACTGAAAGTGCTTTCTAATGGACACAGGACTCCTATATCCTTTCTGTGGTCACATTTGCAAAAATAGTC